CCGGATCATCACCGCTTATTATTAATGCATGTTTCTATATGATGATGAAATGTTTCGAGCGGACCACCGTTCCTTGGTTCCATGCCACACCGCATTATCACCCATAAATTCGCATCTGACCAGAAACTGAATGCTGCGGTGCGTAAATACCGTGGAGACGTCACCTGCCCAAAAAGGCTCTTAGGTATGTAGAAGTAGAGAAGCGAATAAAAGACAGAATATTGTTCTTGAGATGGTGGCAAAGACCTCTGTTATAAGCAGACAGCCCCTAATATCGTAACAAAATATATTGAGTTTCTGATATCAGGCCAATGCGGATTTATTCTTGACCAGAAAAACTTGTTTTCTTGACTCTACGGTTACTCAGGCCACATTTAATGATACAGCAGCTAACAGAATTTGCTTATCTTTTTGTGTTCAAGCCTTATACAGCAAATGTTTAATTAAACGCAGTGCTGCAGCGCATGAAACTGAAAAATGCTGAGTCAAATGAAAGCTGGCCTGGAGTTTAGCTTCGAATCGATTGAATCAGCTGACGCTCTGTTGAAGGTCGTTGGAAGGTCTGAAGGTGTACAAGAACACGCGGTTCACATACAAGACTAGCAACCAACCAGAATGTCACGTGGTTGGTGAGCTGAGTCGTCGAGAAGTTTCGTTTCACGGCATCCTGTTTTTGACGGAACGGACCTCAGCATTTATAACAGGGGTCGGGAGCCTGGACAAAGTACCAGAGGCCGAAGGTAATCTAAAAACATCTGAGTCTAACATATTCATGAGTCACATTTGGAACTGTCATCGAGAAGCCAGGAAGAAACGGTCGTACGGTTGTCGTGCACCAAAATGAAAATTAATGCTCAGTTCACAGAAGATCTGCAGTTCATGACAAATTGCCTCCTATCAACTGTCGGACTTGCCTTCGCTTGTGCTTGGACGATAAACTCACATCAACGTTCCTCCAGTATTATCTGTTCTCCATTTTCTGCCTCAACCTCTGGCAAAAATTTGGCAATCCAATCATCCCTGCGTATTTTTGAGACGTCTTAGGTGCAGTAGGACGCTGACATAGCGTTTGTGGTCTAGTGGAACCAATATATGATTTTTGACGCTGCCAGTTGTCTTTTAGACAAGCTTCATGGCCGAGCCTCTTTTATTGGCGTCACGAATGACAGAAAACCGTCTGTTAACTGATCTTCGAATTTGGGCACTCAGATCTCGGAGGGAGACCGTTCACATTTTCGCTTCATATCTGCTTACATGACCATCAGTCTGTTTCGCTCGGCTTGAATAGTGGACCAGCATTCAGTTCGATCGATGATGACAGATTGGACCGTTGAACCGAATAGCTCTTACTTCCTCCACAATGGCAACTCGTTGTCGAGGAGAATTTCAAGAACTGGTCTCTGCCATTCGCTTTTCTGCTGATATCAGCTTTCTAACGGGTTCGTACGGTTTACCTAACGGCTGAGATGCGTATGGACGGTGACTTCATAGAATTTTTCGCCATTCGCGAAAACCCTAAACCTAGCGAACGGTCTTCTTCCACGTTCGTTTCGCCTAGGAAGGGCTAACCTCCAATCCGATGGCGAGACCTTGTTTTGTAAATGCTAGATCCATCACGTCCTGCGCAAGACGAGGCGATCGTCCGTAAATAACAAGTCCGTCAGCACCCAAGAGAAAAATTGCTACCTAAGAGGTATAAACAAGAAGCAGTCGTTTTTTTTTTCATTTTTTCAACTAGAGAAAACATGCATATACAAGTCTTTCATTTCCGATTGTTTGTTACTGCGTCCTCTATCTGGTTGTTACACTCACTGTATGCGGTTCTGTTCGTGGACCAAGGAAATTTAACTTCTGATTCATACGAAACTCCTGAAAGTCAGTATCCTTCCGCAATCAGAAGTAGTAATGAATCATTCGGCTGTTTATATGTTGACAGTAAAAATTAATGCTTCTAATCATCCATCAGACAGAAAGAATGTAAATTTGTTGCTAGACTCTGCGTATTCCACAAAGAACCTACTGTCGTCGATCGGCATTACTTTCATGACGTGGAGACAAAGTTTGATTTGCTTCCACAGTTAGATTTTGGACATCCAATTTTCGCGCAATCATTCTTAATAAATAGCTCAAGTCTCATGCCAATACTTTTCTCAGGCAAAAAACAACCAAGGTCTGATGATCACAGATATTCTGCAAATATTTTCATTTTTGGATTCGATTGCTGAAACGCACTCAAGACATTTCCATCTGAAGTAGTCTTTGGATGTATGCGGCATCTTTTTTTGTGCTTGGCACGGTCACCTGACGATCAAAACATGCTTAACTTTTCCCCATACTTATAACAAAGAACTTATCCATTAATTGCACAAGGGGACAGGCAAATTTTGCGGTTCTGTTATGCTAACAGAAAGCGATGGAAATATTAGAGTCCAACTGTTTGGACGAACACGTTGGACCATGCAGTTCGGCAACGCGGTATTTTGTTCTCACCTCATTGGTCAACGACGCTTTAGCGCTTCAGGACAACTCATGGAAAATGTGCTGACTTGATGTGTGAAAGGAAGCTGAAGGAATCATCACTTAGCATTGTAGAACCTGAACTGCAGAGCCATTAAACGTAATTCCATTATTGCAAAAGTACAATCGTAAAAACTATCAATGTATCTGTGATTGATCTCGCTATCCATTGACTCATCTCTTGAATTATCATAAGATTAGTGCGACCTGATTGAACAATGAAAGAGATGTTTCTCAAACATGGCCAGCGTTTCAAGTTCTTTGCAGTCATTATTCTCTTGCAAAAACCATCCTTCCGCCGTAGCACTATCGATAGAGTATAAAAATTATGGACGTTTTTGATGAAAAAATATAACTTTGACGTAGTGGCCAGCGACAACCAAGGTAAGTCACTGAAAGGCAGTAAAACGAAGGAATCGGAACTCGTTATCGGAGGAGATGCCGTAGTTCAAGCGCAGTTCAACAGATGTATTGCACAAAACATGCCATTCGGAGGTTATGACTTTCCGGGTATCACCACTCTGCCAGCAGTCATAATACATCAGCTTTTGGCAAAGGAACAAGCTTCCGCTTTTATTGCTTTTACATTGGCTTGAATGCAGATGAGCCGATCGACGTGGATCGAGCATCTCAGCTTCGCGCTGCCTTTATGACACCCCTTTAGGAGTGAGGAATTGCAAAGATGGTGAAGGATAACATACGTGCCATATTTTCATCTGTTTACTCACCGATTATTATGAACAGAGCGATAGCCTTCCTTAAGCCATTTTATACAGCGTATAAGGTAGGGTGAGGTGGCACAGCGACTAAGAGGTCGCCTTCAAATTCAGGAGCTGCCGGGTTCAATTCCGTTGGAAGAGTAATCTCAGTCTGTATCGCGAATTCGCCTTTTCAAGGAATTTATCCCCAGAAATTTGCCTCAAAACTGACACGATCCAGGTTCGAGCTCCAGTAAGGGTCATTCGTTACTCCTGCTTCTAAGGTTTTATAAAAGAGTGCTACTTTGTGAAAAGGAAACAAGAGACTATGTATCACGCTTGCCACATGGCTGCTCTCAGCTTTGCGTTTAAAACAAGGCACTTCTAGCTGATCACATTACATTTAAAATTAATGCTTTTCATTAACTTCATGAAATAAAGGTGCCAAAAATAATCACTTTATGAATGGTAGGAAGAACCGACCTTCCAATGGTATAAATCATTCATTGTTTCTTTGGACGTAAGTGATATTGTGCAGCATGCAGCTGGTTGAAGAGAAGTAGTTTCCAGGAAGAGGCAGATGTTAGCCCATATGGGACAAAAATGAGGGATACTAGCCAATAATTCTTGAGGAATAGCCAACTTAAAAAATGAGTGAATTAATGCACAAAAGTCGTATTGCATAATATTTCATTGTGACGTTGCCAATGTAACAACAGAAATGCGCTGACTGTTAACGAAGACCACATTATTCGTGCCTTACGTTTGGGTGCCTTAACCGATCAATTACCTACTCCGAGTCTAAGTCTTTTATGACATGTGTCTAACGTAATAATTTCTCACAACTCAATGTCCCTCGTTATCACCGTAAAATAATGAAACCGTTTTATGGTCAATTACAAGTTCTCCAAACTTTCTACTACGCTTTCGTTAAACTTTAAAACTTGTCTTAACACCATCCCACAATTGGAACATGTTCAATCGGATCAGTCAAAGAAAACGAAATGGATTAAACCTGAACGGCTTATTTGTCTCGGATAAATCGGCAGCAGTGGATACACTTTCTGACCATCATAATCACAAGAAGAACGTAGGAAACTCGGAAACTCCCCTGACGGGGCGGAACTCAATCAAATTGAGTACAATCTTTCATCTTTAAGAGGAGGAAGACCTTTCTGAAATACGAAGCTGATTTGGCCTAAACTGCGAGAGTTTCAATCGACTGCCTATGTCTAGATATGAGATCTTATTAAAACGCCTAGCTGCGACAAGGGGAGTAATTTCTTTCGGCCTGGAAAAATTGAGTGACCGATATGATTTGGAAGTTACGAACCACTTTACTGCCTTATCTTAAAAACGTAAGATTCACAGCCAACATAAATCACTGATGGAAAGAATAAAGACGACGCTGAAGGTAGTCTACCTGACCTCTGCTCGAAAGGAACTAATACCGCAGGTAGCTGTTGGTTTCACCAGATGGCCGTTATCTAAGATTGCCATCATCGAACACTTGGTCTTCGCTAGAGCTACCAATGGCCGAGCGAGGTGCTGCAGAACTGAGGTAAAATGTTAAAAGTCGCCAATCATAACCTTTTGGAAACTGGGGCCGTAGCAGCATGGCGACGACTGCCTGAAGATCTTCAAGAAGACGACGAACACATCAGTCAGAAGCAAAGCCACTACGCGTTCTGCACGGAGGAAAACGACAGCGTAAGTCCATTATGAAACGTCAGATAAAGGTTTATGAAGGATAATAATACCGGCAGTGGCAACTCACAGTCGCATATTGGAACATCTCACTCAGTTGACAAGGTCGATGGATACTAGCTGGACATTACTGGATTCTCGTCAACGAAGAGCCTAGTCTCTGAACTTCTAAGCCTCGGCAGGTTGAAGCTGTTCTACTCAGACGTAGACTCAGCGACACTCGTTCATCTGGTGCTGCTGTTCTGACAGAACTCAGTCTGGTTGACAGAGTCACTGAACGGAAGCCCGCCAGGAAAGGAGTGGCAATTCTCCGCCTGAAGTTGCAACAGACTAAAGCCTTTGACACTGCTACAGGTCTATACGCCAAATTAAGAGGGAAGGTATGAGTTTTTTCTTCACAAAACAAAAAGTGTTGCATTCGGATTCCCTCATTCAGGTGGGAGATATCAATGCGACTGTTACAGTAGATACTGAGAAGTGGATAGGCGTGATGGGAAAGAACAGCCGTAGCGACCTCAACAAAAACCGCATGAGGTTGTTATGATTTTGTGTAAGCAACAAACGACCTATCTGTTATGAACATTTTCTTCGAACATCGAAGCGTGCATCAGAATGCTTAGTATTAGTAGGCTTGCGTACAAAACCTCATGATCAATTTGATAATCGTATCGTCTGACTTACGATCATCTGTGATAGATGCTTGCGTTATGAGAAACGTCATAACCTTGCTGTTGGCACCCTCCTGCTAGACATAAAAGATTC